TTTTAGATAAAATTTAATTAGAGGTTTTAAAAATTTATAATTAAAAAAATAAGTGATTAATAATTTAATATAATATATATAGAGATTTTAGATGAAAAATTTTGATAAATTTTTTTGTATAAGTTAGATGAAAAATAATTAAAATTAAATATTATATTTTGATTGTGTTATATATTAATTTATAATTTTGTATCTAAATTTTAATTTTTTTATTGTTTTGATATTTATATTGTTGTCAATTCTTTTGATATTATATTAATTCTTGTTTATTTTTGTGTAATTATTGAAGATTGTATTTATTATATTATTATTGAAAATTATTTGTGATAAAAAAATTTATATCAATTAGTGTATCAAAAAGATTAAGTTATTTAATAAATTCAACATTTTATGATCTATTACTCTTACTAAGATTAAAAACTAAAAGATAAAAAATATAGGTTTGAAAATTTTATTAAAATATAAATTTGAAAATTTTTAATTTTTGAAATTTTTTTAGATAAAATCTAATTAGGGGGATTGAAGGTTTATAATTAAAAAAAATTAAGGGATTAATAATTTAATATGATATATATAGAGAATTTAGATGAAAATTTTTTGATAAATTATTTTGTATAAAGTAGACAAAAATTAATTAAAATTAAATATTATCTTTTGATTGTGTTATATATTAATTTACAATTTTTATATGAAATTTAATAAATTTTTTTGTTGTTTTGATATTTATATTGTTGTTAATTCTTTTGATATTAGATTAATTCTTGTTATTTTTGTGTAATTATTGAAGATTATATTTATTATATAATTATTAAAAGTTATTTGTGATAAAAAAATTTATATCTATTAGTGTATTAAAAAGATTAAGTTATTTAATAATATTATTAAGATTAAAAACTAAAATTAAAAAAATTAGTGTAAAATCAATTTTTAATGATGTAATAAGTAACATTAATATTTCTAAATATAAGTTTATTTTATGTTTATACAAAATAGCAAGTATGCCACCACGTGAAGAGTTTTCTAATAAAGAAATAGAGGACGCGCTAAGTGATGATATATGTTGGCATTTTGGAACACTTGTGCCAAATATAAGAGGAAATGTTTCATGTAAACTTTGTGATAAAGTTGTAAAAAGAAGAATAACATGTTTCAAAGAACACATTGCTCATAAAACTGTCAATGTTACATCATGCGCCAATGTTACTGGTATGTTATATTTTTATAATTCATTTGAAAATATTATTGTTAATTTCTTAATAAAAATTATAAAATCACATAAGCATGTGTAACTAATTTTTTTCCTTTTTTTTAAACTATATTATTAATAGGTATAGTAAGAGAAAGTATGATGAAACTCCTTCAAGATAGCAAATAAAAAAAAGCTAACAACAAAAGGAGAAAAAATGAATTTTTATCACAGTTAAGAGGGGAAGATGATTATGAAGGATTTATTGATGAAGATATCGCTACTAGACAAGTCGTGCGAGATAGTATCCAATCACAACATGAGTGGCATAGAAGACAAGAATTCAAACAAAGAACTAGTGGTTGGAGTAACATGTATAAAGAGGGATGAAGCTTTCATGGCACAGTTTGCTGAATATTTTAAAGAAAGAATAAGAAATCAACTCCAAATGAGTCTGAATTTTCATAAATGGGAGCTACACCTGAATTGGTTAGAAGTAAGAGTTCAAGGCAACCAAAAGTAAGTGATTCAATTTTAAAGACATCAAGAAGAAAGATGGGTGAATCAGTATAAAAAATTTTAATATATGATCGACTTCCTTTTCAGTTAGCAAATTCTCCATGGTTGCATGATTTGATTTCTGTGGCAGTAGAAGTTGGCCTACATGTAAAACTTCCAACACCTTATGAGGTCCTAGATGTGTATTTAGAGTCTGAGTAACAACAAGTTCATGAATGGATTGATGGATTAAAAGCTCATTGGAATGAATTGGGTGTTACTTTGATGTGTGATGGTTGGACCAATAGTTTGAATCAAATGCATGTCATTAATTTCCTTGTTTACTATAGTAAAGGGACCATTTTTTAGAAATCTGTAGATGACTCAAGTGTTCGTAGTAGAGATGCAAACTTTTACTATAGATTATTAGATGAAATTATGGAAAAAATTAGAGAAAAATACATTGTTCAAATAGTTACTGATAATGAGGCAACACTTAAGGCCGTAAGAAAAAGACTAATGGAGAAGAGAAAACATTTGTATTGGACAGCATGTTCAGCTTATTGTTTGGACTTGTGCCTTGAAGATATTGGAAAGAAAAAAAATGTGGCAAAGGTTTTGGGGTGATGCAAAGAAAAGTGACTTGTTTTATATACAATCACATTTGGACTGTTAATTTGATGAAAAAATATACATAAGGGAAGCAAATACTTCGTCCTACTTTTACCCGATTTGCCACTTATTTCATACAGTTAAAAAAATAATGAGGAAAAAGCAATGTTTGAAAGAGATGTTCAATTCAAAGGTTAGTACTTAATAATTAGTACAACTATTTAAATTTAGCATCTTTTTATGATATCATTGTTTAAAATATTAATTTAAAATATATTACTCTAAAAATTTATTAATGAATATATAGGAATTTAAAGATTCAAAATGGGAACAACAAAAATCAGGACCTGTTTATAAAGCTAAAAAAATCATTTTGGGAAAAGATTTTTGGAAAAAAGCAGGCGATATAATAAAAGTTTATGAGCTTTTGGTAAAAGTGTTGCGCCTTGTGGATGGTGATGAAAAACCAACAATGGGCTTTATTTACGAGGTTGTGAATAGAGCTAAACAAACAATTCAGCAAAATTATCATTATTCTACTGAATATGAAAAGGTTATTGATAATAGATGGAGTTTCATGCATTCTGACTTGCATTCAGTTGGTAAGTAAACCAAGAATATAAATGGTATTTAAAAAATATGTTTGTTTTTTTATAGTTAAATTGCTTATATATTTATTTTTATTACTTTAATATAATATTGTTATGAATTATGTTTAGGTTATTATCTAAAATCACAATTTCAATTTGGAGTGGAACATTCTGTAAATGTATTTAAAGAAACATTAGAAGGTATAAAAGCAGTTATTGAAAGATTTAAACCTTTGATAGATACTCAAATCAGAATGATTAATCAAGTTAGTATTTAATACTATTTTATAACTTTAACATTTATTTTATGTATTAAAAATTAAATTATTTTTTATTTATTCATTTATTATTGTATTTTCAATCGATGTAGTTATTATTATTTCGAAACAAGTATGAAACATTTGGTACTCCACAAGCACAAAGAGCTTGGAAGCAAATAAATTCAGGTAAATAGTAAATTAAATAATTATAATTTATTTATATTATTTAATTGTATAGTACATTCAAATTTAATTTAAATAATTTTATACAGCTGAGTGGTGGATGATATATGGCACTTGTGTTCTTGAATTACAAAAACTAGCAATCAAAGTGCTTAGTCAAACAACATCTGCATCAAATTGTGAACGTAATTGGAGCACATTTAGCTATATTCACACCAAAGCAAGAAATAGATTGAAGTTTGAAAGACTTCAGAAACTTGTATATACTTATTATAACATGAGGCTGAGGATGAGACATCAAAAAAGAATGTGCATTGATGAGATAAATAATAGTTTTAATCCTATTAGCCTTGATCATATTTTTGAAGATGATGATCCACTAACAGAATAGCTGCAAGAGAAAAAAAATCCTTTGTTAGATGGTCAAAACTCTGATTGGTTACCTGTAGATAATTCTGATAATGAAATAAATATGAACAATCATGCCAATCTCAAGAAAGGAATGTGTCTCATTTAAGTTCAAGTCCAACACCAAGTTAAAGTGATGATGGTGGTAGTTTAAGTCCAAATGATGGTGATGGTGATGGTGCGAATTTTGGTGATAATATAGATGTAAATCAACCTTACAGCCTACTTGGAGGAGAATTTGGGCTTGCTGCTACTGGTGGACTTTTCATTAATATGACAAAATACGGAGTAAATCCATTTGTTGAATCTAGTAAGGGTGAAAGTGCACATACAACTCGATCAAAAGGAAAAGCCAAGAAGCACCATTATAATATTTCTAGAGGTTCTTCATCTTCAGGTGGGAGACGAAATTCTAGTAACTTTGAGTATAGTGAATCATCTGCTAGTACTTAAGGACAATACTATCCACTGGAACAACTTAATTTTCAACCTCTTCATGGTTATCCACCTCCATATGATTATTATCCGCCTCAAATGTATCCTCCACCTCCTCAAATGTATCCTCCACCTCAAATGTACCATTACCACAAATGTATCCCCCACCACAAATGTATCATCCTCAAATATATTCTCTACCTTAAATGTATCAAGAATAAAGGCTTTAGGGATAGAGATGGAGTCAACATGGCTCTCAAAGTGAAAATAAAGAATTTGATCCTTCTCGTCATTCTACCATGTGGTAAAATTTGAAATATATATCAATAATTGTAGTTGATGGAATTTGAAATTATTATATTTTTAAGTTTGTAATTTTATTAAATATAGATGCTTGGTATTTAACATATTATGTTTTGTTAATATTTGATTTGTCTAGAATTAATATTGAATATAAACTTGGCCAAGAAAAATTGTGGATAAACCAAATATGAATGCTTTTTATAATTTAAATAAAATTGTGAATAATTTTTTTTAAAAATAAAAAACATAGTGTCATAAACTATTTTTAAAATCATTGAATAAGAGTTTTTATAATTATAATTATAATTATTACATTTTATAATAAATTGTGCAAAAAAAAAAAAATTCACGACAGTGATAATCGCAGTGACCGCAATGATTTTCGTTATATCCGAAAACAGGATAATCGCGACGCGATCGAAAACGTGACCATGACTGTTATTTAAATAGCCTGATTATAAGTACTCTTTGCTTGAATTTTCTCTTTTAGATACCAATCCCAGCAGCACATAAAGAAAGAAAGAAAGAAAGAAACGATTTGCAACCATGGCTGCCGGCAACCTGCCAGGAGAAATAATATGGGATATTCTTTCAAGACTTCCAGTGAAATCTTTAATGCGTTTCAGGTGTGTTCACAAGACTTGGTGTTATCTGTTTACAACATCTTCTTTTGTCTCTGCCCACCTTAAAAACCACAACAATGAGAAACAGGACCTGGTATTCATAAACCAAAGCAATACTGGCCAAGAAAAGCTGAAAGCATTGTTGCTTAGAGATGATACATTTGATGTCTATTTTGATATCTGCATGCCTTTCACTAGATCTTGTTTTGCGTCCATGAACGCAGTTGGTTCTTGTGATGGGTTGGTGTGTTTATATTATGATCAGCATTTCATTGCTGGTAGAAAAGTCCTTCTTTATAACCCTACCACTAGGCAACACAAGATTCTCCCCGAATCCCCAATTCCAGGTCCACCAAATTTCCGTGAAGTTTCAGTCACAATTGGGTTTGGTTATGATCCCATCATTGATGATTGTAAGGTTGTGAGGATAGTTTCTTGGCTTTTGTATAATGAAAGGCTTAAAGCTAAATCCAACCAAGCTCAAGTATATACGTTAGGCACAAATTCTTGGAAAGGAAAAGAAATACTGAATTCTGTAGAGTTTGATCCTTGTGGAAATCAGGCTTTTGTAAATGGGGCTATTCATTGGTTGGTACGAGTACGAGTGTTGGATTCTTGGGTCAGACATTATGCAATAGTTAGATTCAATGTAAGTAGTGATGAGATCATCAGCTTTTTACTTCCTCGTGTTGTTGTTCATGGAAAAGTTTTGGAAAGGAGAGTTGATGTGTTTAGGAGTTCGCTTTGTGTGGTCAATTCTCTCAATCGACGACAACGCCAATGGTTTGAAATATGGACGATGGATGAAGATGGTGGCAAAAAGTCATGGACTAAACTACATGTTATTGGACCTTTTGTACCTTACAAAAAAGTCATAGGATTTGGGATGCATGAAAAGTTGCTTTTGAAAGGAGAAACAGGCCTTACCATATTTGATATTAGTCGTAAAGAAGGAAAGCACTTTGCAATCGATGGAACTTTTGGCGCATTCAACGCTGTTGCTTTTATGGAGAGTCTAGTCTCCCTCAGGGGAGGAGAAAAAGAAGCTGCCGCTGATGATGATCATGATGATTAAAATTCTCATATTTTCCCGAAATGAACTGGATTGTGACTGTCAAATCTCATATCCTTTACTTTAGCTGGTGCAAACACTCTTATCTGTTTACTAGCTAGATAAATAACAGCAACTTATGTTGATACCATTTGATATATTCCTATCCCAGGTATGGCTGGTGTTTCCAGGTTTGTAGTTGAACTGATGCAGCGGTGAATTAGAAATGACCAAACAAGTAGTATGTTACAGTTTTGTTTTGGAAATATTATGACAATTTATATTGCACATATAGCCATTTATGATATTCATAGTTCTGTCAAATATTATGACAAAAATTTATCATTAAGATTAAAGAAACAAAAGTGACAGGAAATGATCTAGTGTAGATGAGATCTAGCAAGACGGCCATTAGCTCCTTTCGGATAGAAACCGCTGGGGACACTTTCATTGCCACTTTCATAAACAATCCTCAGAATCTCTTCTGGGGTTCTGTCATATGCAACTGAATATTCATCTCCAGCTAGCACCTTACCATTGATTTTTCCCTCAGCACCCTTAACTTTGGGAACAATAAGGCCTTCAACTTTCCACCCAGCATGTCCCATCTTGTTCCTTAGCTTTGAAATCCGATTTGTGAACTCTGCTACGGTTATCCCATATGGATGTACCTTCTTCAGTGCTCTCTTATATAGCAATCTTCGGATGACCGCATCTTGGCCAGATTCTACACCTAAGAGGCCTGCAACTAGCTGAAAAACGAAAGGCAAATTATAATTGGAATCCGGTTAAATTTTGTTTCTGGTGAATTATTATTTATTGGCGGCCTTACCCTCTTTGAAACAGCACCCTGGAGTCTTAAATTTGCACCAACCTATCCAGCGAGTCCAACATAGGGGATCAACTAGGAAGCAATCAGGTAGTTGATGCTATTGGCATAAGGGTCAAAAGGGGGGGGGGGGGGGGGGGGGGGGTTTAATGACTTCCCAAATGCTTGATCTATAACTTTTGCAAATGATTCTTTTACTCAAATCCAACTCTGGCCTTGGAAATCCTTTCACTGTCTTCTTAATTGCCCTGCATCAAGGAAGCATCTCCATCAGAACAACTGACAAAGACTAACTTGTTTGTTATGAAAATAAATACTAGACTTGATAATTATAAATGTAATATGGTAATACGATACAAAAAATTATACAAAAGCGGCATAGTTTATAATTTTAGCAAAAACTATATTAGAGTTTAACAAAAACTAAATAAATGTATTTGTGTTTTGCATGTGAATACGAACTGTGACACAATAATTTTTGTTTTACAGTGTTAATAACAAGATACACAAATTGACAGATCTAAGAAATACTACATGAAAACCTTAAATGTCCAACTTCTTGGAGATCAAATTGCACGATTACATCGTTGATAACAGGATCAAGCTTGGCCTTTGAGGCACCAATAGGAGTTTGGGGCTCCCATGGTTAAAATTTCGAGCAACTTTGTCCAAGCCATAACCCAAAGAGCCATACAAGAAAAACTCAGCCTCTAAATACTCTAGATTCAATGGGAATTCCAACAAATCAACATCCGATTTTGGGACAGAGAGTCTGTTAAATCTATAACAGGCTCTGAAGAATAGACAGCAGGAAGGATGAAGAGGACTAGTGAAGAAAATAGAGTGATGGACATGGTTGCACCGGCAGCTGATGAAGACTGAAGAGTATATATTTTTGCTTGTGATGCTTGTCTAGTGAAGGGTGCTACTCTTATATGCACACAAGGAGGCTAAATCAAGAAAGTTTGAATAGAAGGAAATAAGATCTATGTTAATTTGTACATTGTTTTATCTCATTTACCCCATTGGATAAGAACAATTTTTTTAGAATGGATAAGGCAAAATTTCCCATAAATCTTGGATTTTTTTCCTTTTAATGAATTAAATATGTGTTAACTGTAAAGGGTTCCTTCTTTTTTTAGTCTAAATTCACAATTAACTTAATCTTTTTTTTTTCCTTTCATTATTTAAGTTTATTTTTTATACATTTAGTATAATTTTTTAACTTCACAAATGAGGTTAATAAATTCTTATGTCTTATTTTTGTTTATTATACCAAAAATATGTACTATCCTGTTTGTCATGATAGGAAGTTTAAAGTTTAAAAATAGTAAATGTGATAACTTTTTTTTTTAATTATTTTTCCTACTTAAAAAAAAAAAACTTTTTTACCTCTAATTAATTCCATAATTATTTTGATTTCCAATGTTCATTTCAAAATAGGTTCTTCATGTAGTGGTTACATAAATTGAAACAAAGTTACAATGTATAACTTTGTCCAAAAACCCTTCATAGCAACTTCCATGAATTGTATGCATTAAAAAAAAAAAAATTCTTACAAGCTTTTCAAACTGACAAGCTGCTGTTTTGTGAATCTCAATGCCTTTTTTGGATGTCTAAATGAGACCTACATAGAAATAAACGAGAAAAAAAACTCCTCCTTATTCGAAAATAAAGTTATAAAATTTAACGAGCTGGCTTTATATATATAGGACAAGAGTAAGGACCTTTCTAAACATGTTAGTCAAAATTAACTTATCACATTATGGGTTCAATTACAAAATTAATATTGAGATCACACTTAACTAATGTCATATTATGTGATTGGGTATGTTACAACATGATACCACAATAATTACTCATTAATTGATATTAATTAATAAAATCCTCTATATAATGATTTTGTTAGTCCACCAAAATAAGATAATTATAGCAATTTATCACTTGAATAATATAAGTCATTAGAATTGAATCAAGATTAACATAATGAACATAAACTAAAAATGTCAATATGGGTATATACCTAGATCACTACATGACAGAACGAACATTTGTAAGCTCCAGAATTAATTGTACCAATAGGGCACAAATGTGTGAATTTATATGCTCTTTATAATCAGCAACTATTTAGAGTCTCATAATGCATTGTATTAATAAGATATATGTATGTACACTTATGAATATTTCAATAATAACAAGCAGTATTTATGAGCTCCAAAATACACTGTACCAACATGATATGTGTATGTAGACTCACAAACACTTTAAAAGATGTACTATGATAGTGTGAAATGAAAATGATATGAAAACGAAATCGTTATCCATTTCCATTAGGTACATGCATCTAAAATAAAATGATACATTGCTGCAAAAAAAAACACATGATACTATCCAAAAAGTCTCATCCAACAAAATATCATATTCATCAAAATGCAAGCAAACAAAACTTACGTATGGCAAATAGGAATTCATCGATCATAGTCACAACTAATTTCATTACACAAAGCTCCCACTAACCCAATACAGCAGAAGTCTCTACAAATCGAATAAGTGTTTATTGTTAAAACACTTAGTAGCCAAAATTAGTTAATCGTCACATTAAAATGGGCTCTGTAGATTATATGCTTTACAATTCACTCCAACAATGAATTCCATTACTTTTTCTTTAATAATCTGAATGATAATATCTATTTATTTGGAGTGTGAAAAACTTTTAATATTTGAAAGGAAGCCACCATGTAGATTTATCGTTAAAACATCCCTAATGACTTTGAAATTGAAACCACAAAACTCTACTCTGAAATGATATTTTGTAACCAACAATCTCACTGTACCTTTACATTATGCTATATGTTTCACCTTCGTAATTGAAGATGCCATAAGTATACGTTTCATACTTTTCAAAAACCAACTCATCTAAACAATACTACCGAAATTGGCTTCATACAACGTGCAAAAATAAAATCAAATATCTGACTAACTTTAGAATGTTGAATTGCTAATGTTTAGTTACAAGATTATTCAAAAAGTCTTTAAAGTACAACTATAGATACACAACATTAAAATGTATACATACTTAAGCATACATTAGACTACCCACATTTGAGGTATATTGAGTAATTGATATGAATTCATTCATTATCATCATGAGGACATTGAGATTTTAATAGTATGTCGTTTTTCACAATAGGTGCTCTAGTAAGAAAATAATAGTGCATATCAAACCTACTTAACACATTGAATGTAAGTTTTTTTAGATGAATTGAATATGCCTCTATATCTATTAAAAAGAATCTTAATCCTTAAACTAGAATGAAAGCCCCACTTAGAATATTCACCCAAAGTGACATGACAATATGTTTATATCTCAAGCAATAGGTCAATGTCTTTAGGTGTTGTTATGATATCACCAAAATGTAAAGCACCTAAAATATGCTAGTCACACTAACCTTTAGACATGCATTGATCACTGATATTTTTCTTATAGTATCAATCTTATCAAACTTTAAATATCATAAAATAAATTCCTTTTAAACATATAAGTGAACTTTTAGAGTTAATAAATTGTATGTTCCATCACAGAAACTACAAAACCTTCATGTTGCTCAATTTAGATGTCTTAACATCTAACTGATGTAACTTTAAGTCAAATGAGACACTAATGCCACAAAGATTTTAAAAGAATCAATAGTAGAAACAAGATAGAATGACTTTTTACAATAAATACCTTTTTTTGTTTAAAGCCTTCAATCACAAAATTAGCTTTAAGCCTTTCTACCTAGCCTATAAAATACCTTTTAACCTTGTAAGTTTATTAACTGTCAATTGGACTACAATTATGTGATCATTCATCTAGATCCCATACACAATTATATAATACTGATGCAATCACATTCTACTTGGCAAACATTCAACTCAAAAAGTTAGGATCATCAATAGCTTCCTGAAATGCAACATAATAAAAAAACATATGAATGTCATATTCATGTTCTTCTGCAAGATTAAATGTAGTTTTGAAAATGAGATTGCTGGGATCTACTATTGGTTCGTTTGCTTATGGCATTTTTCATCAATAACTAAATCACTTAAAAGATCAACATAACATGTCATTCAATAAAAATAACTTTACGGAGTTCAAAACCTAATATTCCTACAATCTAAGTCATCTTCTAGATAGATTGCACAATGAGACTTG